AATAGAGAATACTGAACAGACATACTAGATCAACTCTTATTTAATCTTTTAAATTATCTATCTTAAAAACGAAGCTTCGAATGACAAAATTTTATCCTTGATCTTTGATTTCTTATTTGAATAAATGTTGCAAATATAGCCCAATAATACAGCCATTTATTGTCTAAGATATAAGACATGAAATTTATTTTTTTCTGCGAAAGTAGAAACAGAGGATGCTGAACAGACATACTAGATCAACTCTTATTTAATCTTTTAAATTATCTATCTTAAAAACGAAGCTTCGAATGACAAAATTTTGTCCTTAATTTTTGATTTCTTATTTGAATTAATATTGCAAGTATAGCTCAACAATACAGCCATTTATTATCTATGATATAAGACATGAAATTTATTTTCTTCTGCGAAAATTACATCATTCCACTGCTAGCTTTTTTGTTTTGCGCAGATAAAATCCCAAAGTCGTCAAACGGAATAAGAAATGACGCCTGGAGCTGTATTTCGAGCACCGTACTTGGAAAACGAGTTTTTATCGATACTATTAGTATATTTCAAGCACGACAGATGACCGAGGGTTGGAATAAGGTATAGTTTTTAGAGAAATTAACGCATCAGGTGCACAGGACAGGTGTTGCTTGATAGAGAACCTCGTAGCCTGCTTATAGGTAATATTTCCTCAAATTATACACAAAAAGCAACTAAAAAAAATTTCATTTGAACGAGACAAGAATACTAAACGATATAATCACCATTAAAACACAGGGTTTTAACGTTAAAAAAGATTTACAGAAACGTTTCATCGTTTCTTGAACCGTAATATTTTTGTTTCCAAGGAAAATTAAATTTTTCTTTTCATAAATTTTTTCCCCCAAGACCCCAACCAAGGTTTTCTCTCCAAGGAACCGGGGGGATCTTCTTTTAAACTGCTACGTGAATTTAAAAAGGTTAAGAACCTCCCGGGTTAACTACTTCCACGCGAAGTAATTCTCGGCAGCTGGTCCAAAGAACGCAAGGTGTTCTTGTTTCACTTTTTAAATATTTCGAGGCAGTTACGGAATTGTAGTTAAAAGCTTTTCACATTCCTCCTTTCGTTTTACTCTTCATTATTTTAATCGGTACGCGCGGTTTCACTTGTATCACTGTTGCGCCATTGCTGTATTAAATATTGAACCGGTGCATAAGTTTCGTGCAATTCGATTTTAACGCTTTTTCGATCTTCAAGATAATCCTTATTTGCATAAAATGATATTTTCGTAAGTACAGTCAATTAAAACATTTATGACGTACATACGTTATTAACGCGATTTAAATATTCGTTCAATGTTCTCTTTGTCACAAATGATACAGAAAATTTTTATTTAATTTACTTCACGTGGAATGTCTTTAGAAGTTTTGACAAAAATATGTTTCAGTTTTTTTAACAATCCATCGATTAATTTTGCTCGAAATGAAATACAAAGTTCGAACGTTTAAAATAAATGCTCGTTCGCCACCGATGCGAGCGGCAGCGTGTATTTGTTTTTAATTTTGTTTGGAAACACAGCGTTATCGCTAATTGCACGTTACGTGACGTCACGTTTACTATGCCGATCAGCTGACGTTTCACGCGTCATTCATTTTCTGTCGAAACACGCTTTCGTGAACCTTGGAGCCGTCGAGTCGCGTGAGTTGTAAATGATGTAAGAATCGGGCGCAGAAAAAGTGCGCACATAATGATACGGGGCAGAAAATCTTCCGATAACGGAGATCAAAATATTCGGGCGACCAGCCTCAAGATATATGTGTCGATGATTGTGAAAGTGGCTTGGGTCAATATTTCTTAATTTACTTCTCTTTTTTTTAATATTATTAGAACATAGCTATCGACAGAAAACAAGCGATAAATTCAATTTTTCATAATCATCGACACACACACACACTCACGTTACATCACGTGTCCTGAATATTTTCACGTGTTAGGATACTCGATGTCACGAGTTCACGTGATATGGAAATTCACTTCAAAGCGTTCGATGTTTTTAATTTATTCTCAATAATTTCTCCAAACGATATTATTTAGATGATCGGTTAGGTCTGGGTTAGGTCTGGGTTAGACCTGGGTTAGGTCTGGGTTAGGTCTGAGTTAAATCTGGATTAGGTCTGGGTTAGGTCTGTCTATAGATTTGCTAAAAATTATTCGAACGTGTGAAAATAAAAATTAGACATCCGAATATCACGCGTTCGTAAAGGTTCGATAATTACGATTAGGATTCGAATCACGAAGCAACGACGCTCCGGCGTACAGAGCGTCGTTTCGAGACATTTTTTCTCCCGTTGACTGCGAGTCATCGCCCTTGATCTAACAGTAAGCCACGGACGCTCCATCGCACGAGGCTGTGGGACGAACGAACACTCGAAATTCGCGATATCATTATCCCGGTGTCGTTGTTCACGATAAAATCTGACCTACATGCGGTTCACTGAACCCGCCGCGAACGTGTAATCTCTATTGTCGCGTCGTTCTTTCGACGTACGATATTATCTAACGTTTTCGATACCAGTCGCTCTCGAGGACCTTTCTACGCTATGACGATCTCTTGCACTTTGACTTGCAACGCGACCTCGTTCAATTTATACCCCGTCCCCACGGGATCGATAATGCACCGCCATCGTCGAACCGTTTGTTGCACCGTTTTTCCAAAATCTTCCACTTTCCACAAACGACTGGGAAAGTTTAACCACTGGAGTTTGGGAAACGATTCGACGGAGCAATTTTTCACTCCTAAATCAACAACAGACCATGAATACCATGCTTCAGGACATTTTAAGGCAGGTCACGTGAAGGGACAGTTCCTCAAATTGTCCGTAAAAACGATACTTTGTATTTAGACGATTGGAAACTAGTAATAATTAGATATAGAGCATATTCTTAAGATTACCATTTAGATTTATTTTCTTTAAGATCTAATCCGGGGAATTAATTTTGTTAGCTCCTCGATGATAATTCAAATTAATGGAAGAATATAATAACGTATAAAAGTCGGAAGAAATGTGAAAACAATTAATTTTAACCCCATGGTAGAGGTACATAGCGTTAAAAATGGCACCGAGCATTGGTCAACGAGAGAATGCTAATAGATGCACGTGTAACCTCGCCGACGACGCGATAACTATGCCATTTCTGGAATCCCTGGGATGGTTCGTTCGCGGAGGACGAAACTGGAGCAACGACCTTCGAATTCGGCCCCGGTCGACGGAGTTCGTGAACCCTGAAAAGAGCCTGCCAGACCACGGGGATAGATGGTACAGTTATGCTCTCTTCCTCCACCTGCTCCCTCCTTCTTTTCCCTCCATCTTGTTCTCTTTCCTATTCTCCTTCCTCGACCTTCCCCTCCCTCCCTCGCGGCTGTTTCTCTCGCACACGACCGTTTCCTCCTCCTTCAACAATGAGTTCGCGCGCGCCTGCACTCCCGCGCTCTTGCCCGCGGTAGAAGGAAATACCGTATGGTCACCTCGTCACCGACGCCAAGAGGAAATCCCGCCGGTTCGACGACCTGGCAAAGGTGACTCCGATTGTCTGGAAACCGACGCGTCGCGACGACTCACCGGGACGTTAGATCGATACCCGGGAAAACTGCTTTCCTTTTCTTATATTCTATCGTCGTCGCTCCTCGATCAATCTGGACATTCCGACGGAACGCTCCACGATTCCTGAATTTTTTATCGCCGGTAGATTATTCGAAATCGAATGAAAAACAGTCCCTTTTTACTATCTCTCTATCAAACATTCGAGATTCATCAATTCACTAAAACGGTTTCTGGCAGATAGTTAAGGTTGAGTCTAACTTTTAAACTGGAAATAATAATAATCGGTCGGTCTCTTTGTGTAGAATAAGTTTCTAAACTCGACTTGAAACATTCTAGATTCATCAATTTACTAAAACGTTTCTGGTAGATAGTTGAGGTTGAGTCTAACTTTTAAACTAGAAACGATAAATATCAGTGAGTCTCTTTTTACTATCGCATATCAAACGATGTATTCCTACTTTTCCGACCCATTTCCCACAAATTTTCAGCAAGACTGACAAATATTCGACATATAACATACTTTCTACATAGTATGAATGATATGTCTACAAACATTGTTTCAGTCAGTTCTTGGAACCTGGAAACTTGAGAAGTACAGCAAGTGTCCGAATATTTCTGTGACATGAAAATGACCGTACTTTCTGTTTTTCTTTTATTATTTATGTAATCACGTATCATAAATAAATAGTTCTTACGTTTTTGTAAACTACACACTGCATATTAACGTACATGAAACCTTCTTTTGTTCTCATTGTTTACATTTCTGAAGTACGGAATATAATAGTCAAAGCTATAGTGGTGTCCGAATATTTTCGTGACCGACTGTACGTCGATGGGTGTAACTTAATTTTCTAAAATTTACCCCAAACATTCGAAATTCCCCAATTCATTAAAATGTTCCTCACAGATAGTTGAGGTTGAGTTCAATTTTTTAAACTAGAAATGATAAATATCAGTGAGCGTCTTTTTATTACGTCGGTGGATGTAGCTTAATTTTCTAAAATCTACCCCAAACGAAATTCGAAATTCCTCAATTCACTAAAACGTTCCTCATAAATAGTTAAGGTTGAGTCTAATTTTACAACCGTAAATAATAAATAAATTTTTAACCCAGGAATGATGAATACCAGTGAATTTGAGTGTAGCAAAAGTACCTCCATCTTGGATTTTCTTCTATACACGATGCTCCAATGTCTGTTCTAGGTTAAAAGCACTCGGAGGCGAGATTTTTCTTAAACAAACAATCATTGGAAGGAAAACAACATTCGAAATTCCCGAATTCACTAAAACGTTCCCTTGAGTCTAATTTCTAAACTGTAAATAATAAATAAATTTTAAACCCAGAAATGATGAACACCAGTGAATTTGTGTGTAGCAAAAGTACCTCCATCTTGGATTTTCTTCTATACACGATGCTCCGATGTCTGTTCTAGGTTAAAAGCACTCGGAGGCGAGATTTTTCTTAAACAAACAATCGTTCGGAGGGAAAAACGCGACGCGAGTTTCTCGCGTTGGGTAAACGGGAAGACGGAGGAGGTCGTTGACCCGTCCGTGGTCAGCGAGGACGAGTACGGATCGATGATGGCGGGCGAAGAGCAGGGGCAAGCAGAGAGGAAGAAGACGTTTACCGGTAATGACACGCGAAACTTGAGTGGTACACGGGAAACGCGTGGAATTCTTACGCAAAGAGGAGGCTCGAGGTAAGTCGGTCGCTGATTCAGACTAGTCGGGGCCACTCCGAGCTGATATCAACGGGTTTTAACGGGATCGTGAGTAATCGACTCGCGCCGTCAAGGTGCAGGCCACCAATTCGAACCGAAACGAGGCAGGAAATGCTCGGCCTTCCGACCGGTAGTTCGATACAACCTAAGTCACGCGTTTATTCAAATACATCCACATATTAACTTCTACGAATTACACCTGTACGCGTATTCTTAGCTTTTCTTCTTTTTGTTTACCACAGTTAGGAAAATTTCAATAATCTCTCGCGAGAAGAATACAAATTTCTTACAAATTTCTCTAGCAAAGTATATTTTATTCGATATTCGAGAGCAAATTAAAAGGTGATTTTTCGTTATTCAAGGACGTTGGAAGATCAATCGTAGTTGAATTTGATTTTTTGATCTCGTTAAAAAAGAGGCTACTTGATAGTATTTAACATTTGCGTATCTTCGAATTTCTAACGTAATAATCGACAATCCGTGAATGCGGACAATGTTTCGAGACAGCAAAGTAATATATTAGCAATATTTACACGCATGATGTCAGTCAGTATTAGGTAATCAAATTACGTTCGCCAGGATTAATTCTACAAAGTAAATGCATCGCAATTACACGGTTCAATGATTTACGATTATGACTGCGCTGCAATTACGCGATATTAACAGTCCCCTTACTATGTACAGATAATAAATATGACTACTTTACGTTTCGACTATCGTTGGTGTCCGCGAAAATTACAGAATCAGTTATGGGATTCTCTCCAAGTTCGATGCTTGGAGCAATAGAATAAAATAAAATGAACAGAAACTGATATTAAATATCGTTTAAAATTATTCTCCACCGTCCAAATGTCTCGTGCAACGGAAGTAACGAATTTAAGGCTGTTTGCAAAAGTACGTTTAAAGATGTCCGTCACGACACGACCGCCAGTTTTCGCGGTTCGTGTGCCAGCGACTTTCGAAAACGTGCTTTAATCCGAACGATTCCATTATACGATCGTATTAACGCGCACGACACATGTTTTCACTCCTCCGTTGCTTTCACTTTCGCGTACGACGCGTAAAGATAACCAACAATCGGCCGATGACTTTTTATCAGGAGAGGAGAGGCTGTTGTCGTCATTGAACTTGGCTCTTACGAGGCCAGTGCTAACGAACGGATAATTGAGCCTTTTAATTGAACAAGTGCGCGCTGCCAACAGAGATTGGCAGAATTCTTATCTAAATTTGAATTTCGAACAATTCGTTAGCTATAAATAATAATTGCTATTACAAAATCGAAGATTTTACAACCGAGAGGTCAACGTTTGTTCGTTTATCGCAACACTGTTTCGCTAGAATAATCTTTATTATTTTAATCTGGGGAAAAAAGGAAAATATAGAGAAAGAGGTTTTCTCAGAGCAGCGGGGCCATTTTTGCGAGCAACGAAGGTCGATTTCTCGCGTTGAAACGCACAGTCGTTCGACGGCGCGGAAACAGTTCCTTCGATCGGCCGGAATAATCGCGGTTTCGCTGTAATTTAACTGCGAATTGGCAATTATTTACTGAGCCCCTCGCTAACAACGCACGAGAGAAATAATAATACTAATTGGCCTCCATCGCGAGTGTGCGCGAGTTATTTTAGACGATTGATATAAGTGCATACCCGAACGGAGTGAAATTGCATGTAATCACGGAAAACGAACGTCAAGAGCGGGGGGGATCATTAATCGTGGAAAGCAGTGATTTTCCTTTCTATCTATTTTGCTCGCGGCCGCGCCGGTCGACGACCTTTTTAACCCGGTAACCACTTGCTCGCGCTTTAACCGCGCTTTCTTTCGTCACGAGTTCCCATTTCACTCTCGCGCTTTTCCGTTCGTTTTCTCTACGAATCTCCACCTCCTTTCCTGCCGCCCATTTGCGTGAATTATGGCGCTCCGAAGTGCAACGACGCCCGAATTTTACTCGCGACGAACATTTTTAATTCGTTAACCCTTTGCACTCCTACGTCGAGCGTGATTCGACGTCAATTTTTATCTCAGGAGCTCACTTTTCCAAGTGAGACTTTTTCAAGTCCAAACCAAAGAGATATCGTACACTTGAGGGTTACAAAATGCAACAGTGTAAATAAAACAGATATTTTAACAGGTAAATTTCAAATAAAACACTTGAAGGCGTTTGGGAGCTGCTGGTAACAAAATTCAAATATAATTCGAAGTGCAAAGGGTTAACTTGACACTTTAATGGCCGCACGTATCACGCGAGGACCGTTGTTCGCCATCACTGATATTGCAGACCAAAGTGAGGTACATGAAGATGCTAGGAATATTATTATAAGGAATTATAAATGTAACAAACGTAATAAGATGAGTGTATGATGAAATGGTGACTGATACAGTAGATCACGCACACGTGACAGTGGCCAAAGTCTGCTAGCTCGCGAAGTCACGTATACGTGACAGCGGCCGTCAAAGTGTTAAGAGAGGAAACCATTGTGACGGATTGAAAAAATCGAAATTTTATTTTCATCTCTTTTCGATGCTTGGAGTTTTAAGAATGACCCCCCTTAAAATAATAAAAATACACGTGTGCCCGTTTTTAGTAAATTTTTGGAGGCCTCTAATGCTCCCTAGAGGTCCCTATTATGGCTAGAATAATTTATATTTTTATACGAAATTTTTCCAAGAAGTAGTTCAAGAAATGTACTTTCGGAAAACATTAAACATTTATCAGAAAAAGTTTCATAGTTACGGCCAAAAAATTCTTGAAAATTGCCTTTATTTTCAGCCGTTGCAGTGATTTCCTCCCTTAAATTAAAATACATCGATAAAAATTCCTTGTTAGAATGTCGATGCAATTTTAGTATTGAAACACTTGGAAGATATTGGAAAAATTATTTAAATCATACCACGATGTGACTCTCGGTCATTTATGAGAATCATGGGAATAATTAAAATGTTATTGCATTTGTTTATAGTTCAAATTCATTTATTTATGCAACCAAGCTATATATAAACATAAAATATTATACACAGGCCATATATTTTTTGATTTCGAATTATATAAAAGGATTTAAGGATAGTTCCAAAGTTCAAATGTGACTCAGAGTCATATCATGGTACGATTAGGGTTAATTGTGAGAAGAGTTCTCTAAAAAAACTGCGTATGAATATAATACAGACTGTGGTGTAGTATTATAAATCCTGTATGGTATGAAAAGAATTTTGATAATGGTTAACCATGTATTCTGTGAGTTTTTTATGTAAAACAAGTTGAATCGATTAAATACGTTCGACAAGAAATAATCTTCTACCATTTTTGCACCGAATTTTACGATTTAATTAATAAAGCAGAAACAACATCGACAATTCATAAACATTTGGAGAAAATGGAGGTTGTGTCTGAGCTCAAATAAATATTTTATACTATATTTCAGTGAAAAGGAAATAATTTTTCTGTACACTTGCTGGGATCGAATAATATTTCTTAATTCTTTGTTAAATTCTTTGTTAATCCTGACAAGCTATTCATTGTTATTTATCATTTTGATAAATCTTTCTATTTCTCTCGCTGTTTCTTATTATGCACAAAGATCATTCTGCTCGTCAGAAATATTGTCCAAAGAGTTAAACAATAACACTTGTTATCACTAACAAACAACTTTAACATTCAACTATAAGGATTTCTCATGTTTTTACAAATTTCTTTATAATTTTATATTCAATCATACACGTTGGAATTGTCTGTTGTATGTTATTGAATTTATATGCTTATTTAAGTATTTAGTAACATTGAATATCGGATTAACGAGTTTACGCAGCGATTAAACGGAGCATTAAGTTTATGATTTCGAAGCAGAACCGTACCCATGTTGTTTGAAACTTCGATCGTAACATTTAATCTTGCATGTATCGAAGTTTTTATCTTTACAACTTCATTCTGGTTTACTCCGTTTATCGTTCCATATTGCACAAAGAATGCAGCCTTGAATAAAATCTTTGTTAAACACGACAATAATATTCGCTCGGTTTGTTTCTCAGCTTTAACATATAAATGCATCGTAACGAACAGATACGTCGATATAACATGTATTAATTCTTAAATTGTTTTCGTGATCACTCCAAATAATAAAAACAATACATTCACGATACATTTAATCCTACAATTCAAGCACTATATCTGTGATCCAAAAAAGGAAAAAGGAAAAAGGAATCGTACCTTTCCCATTAGCAAAGTTAATTCGTAATATAATTCGAAATCTATTCTAAACTTAACGATTTAAACTATTCTGTATCTTTGAAAAAACGTTAAATTTATTCTCGCGTTAATGTCTTTAAGTTATCTGTTCGAAATCCAAAATAGCATATTTTCCTTTTCAAACGATATAATTCGAAACGTAATATAATTCGAAATCTATTCTAAACTTGAGGTATCGATTAAAACTATTCTGTATCTTTGAAAGAACGTCAAACTTATGTTCGCGTTAATGTCTTCGAATTATCTGTTCAAAATCTAAAATAGCATATTTTCCTTTTCGAACGATCCTCGTAAACGGTGGTCAAACTAAGAGTATTGGACTAAAATTGTTTAACTTGAAGAGTTGAAAACTCAGGAAAAAAGTAAAAACAAGAAGATGGATGCCCCCGATAAAATCTTAAAACCCAAAATAGCATATTTTCCTTTTCAAACGATCCTGGTAAATGGTGGTCAAACTAAGAGTATTGGACTAAAATTGTTTAAGAGTTGAAAAATCAGGAGAAAAGTTAAAACAAGAAGATGGATGCCCCCGATAAAACCTTAAAACCCAAAATAGCATATTTTCTTTTTCGAACGATCCTCGTAAAAGGTGGTTAAACTTATTGGACTAAAATTGTTTAACTTAAGAGTTGAAAAATCAGGAGAAAAATTAAAACAAGAAGATGGATGCCCCCGATAAAATCTTAAAACCCAAAATAGCATACTTTCCTTTTCAAACGACCCCCGTAAATGGTAGTCAAACTTATTGGACTAAAATTTATTAACTTAGGAGTTGAAAAATCAGGAGAAAAGTTAAAACAAGAAGATGGACCTTAAAAATGAATAACCCTGAGGATTTGTTCGGCTCGTTTAAAGCGATCCTGTAAATCCTAACCGCGTGGAGACCCATTAATGGATCCCAAGGAGCTCGTCTCTTGTTTGTTTCGCGCGATAAACGGCGATAATCCGCCTGGCGTTTCCGCGCGTTTCTATGGGAAAACACGCGGGCGTAGAAATAGGAGCACGCGCGACGTAAATGCGTAGAAAATCGATCGACCGATAATCCGGCGATAGAACGACCTCGTTCCTGGTCGAATCATCGGCCACACCGGGACCTCTCGCCGTCCTGTGTAGTTAAATATTTGATCTGCTAGACCACCGATAACCCTTATCGCGGTTCACACGGTAGGCAAACGCGCGCTACGTGGCCAGGATAAGTATGCTCGAAAGGGTGGCGAAAGAGAGCCCCCCGGAACAGCCATGTCAATCTTATTTTTACCCTGGGGTCAATTTACCCATGAGCTCGTTACTATTTTACAGCGTTAAAAATGTTTTATACCATTTTCATGGAACTTGGATTTCTCAGCAATTTTAAATAATAATTTCTGTGGAAACGAGCACATTAAACAGACAAAAAGTTTAGGGTGGAAAAATCCTTTATTCTACTTGTGTTTGATTCAATTTTGCTCGAATCCTACATTATTCAAAGATTAGTGCTTCAGAAAATTTCAAACAAACGTGAGAATAGGGGCCCCCAATTTTCTTCAACCCTGATCGAACTCAAACGAGTCGTATAATTTAATTTATGATTATAATTATTCGTAATTATTAGCATTGAACCCAATTTCAGACCTAACTCGACCTATTATTTTTTTTAATGGGAAATTCTGACTCTTTGACACACTTTAACACTTTGACTGCCACATCACCTACATATAGGTGACAGAACTTTTAACAGTGGAACTAAAACAATGAATCCTCAAGTTGAAATGTTAGAGAAAATAAATTTTAACAGGCTTCGTAAATTTTAACGAGGTTACTAAAGTAACTACTAGGACAGATTTTAAATCAAAGTTTTGTGGTCTTGTAAACAATTTTCAGATTTTCGACTGGCAGTAAACGTGTTATACGCGTCGAAACGAATGAGGTCGATACTAGTGTAAATAGTTGTTGTTAATGTTAAACTAGGTGGACGCGTGCCCCGGAGCGTAATACGTGGTAACGTTTAATTTAGATCTGGGTTAGGTCTGGGCTAGATCTGGGTTAGTACTTCGATACGTGAGCAAAGTGTAAACACAACCGAATGCCAAACACTACAAGCCCTTGTTGTACCATATTCCAATGAAGTATACTCGATTGATACGACTCCATCGAAGGCCACTTCATGGTCGTGTTGTGTATGGTTCGATTTGTCTTGATATCAGCTAGAATATACAACCGATAAGAATGTGGAATTCTATACCTGAATGTTCTTTCACGCGTTTGAATATCCATTTAGTTTATGTCACATTAATTCGTTCAACGAATTTCGGATTACGTATATACATATGTCTAACTTCCAATCGTAATTAGATATCAAAATACTCGTAATACTAATGAGACACTCTGAAATATAATATGACTTATACTTTGTGAAATAACGCGAGAAACAACGATGCAATATTACATAATTCCCAAGTATACGTAGTTTTGTGGATATTTCAAAATATCCAACCATTTGTAAATCTCAAGTTCTAGGCCAGGGACAGCTTGGACAAACGCAATAGATAATTCTGACGATATATATTGTTGATTAAACTTAATTGCTATACACGTTGCACGGTTTTCCTAGTAAGCTAATAAATTTGAGAAAATTTCATGCTCCGTTGACATGCATCGACGGAACAAAAAAAAAATTACTTACATATCGTGCTTGGCAGTCGTCGCGTTGGCCGGCACGTGCCGCCAGCCTTGAAGCTCGAAAACAAACATATGAAAATATGTTTTCCCACGAGGAACTGCCACCTTGTCGAATTATAAATTCTTAGATCGTTATTCTATACATTGGCTGACCCGTTACTCCGT